CACCTGGCAATGATACAAAGCACACTGACTTTTAGTCCGTCTTATCAGTTTCAAATCTCTAAAGATGGCGCACTGTGTGTTTTCACCTCTGGGCAAACTCTGCCCAGTGCCTAGTCCTTGGCATACCACTGAAGAGAGGCCACAGAATCTTTTCTCTTCTACTCCAACATTTTGATTATAAGATTATTTTACTGATAAGTCTGCACATTTCCCCACCCAGTTGTGTTGAGACAAAAAGATAGATTAGCCTGAACCTCATAATCTTGGGAATGTGGGTCAATCTTGAGGTTGGATTGGGAAGTCTACGGGAAAGCTTAGGGCTCCTAAGATATGGACATCAGTAGTGAGGGACTCTTACAGAAGCGGGCTGTGTGCAGAAGCCCTCCATTAAAGTCCTCTTGGTTTGGTAAAACGTAGCTGGTGCCACTTAAACCTTTCTATCCCTCTGCCAAGCTGAATTCAGGATATAATTTTGCCGCTTGCCCATGGACCTAGTGGACTTTCAAAATAAATCTTCACAAGACTTTTTGGACGTAGGACATGAGCCGAATTATGATCCAGTGGGCACACAAATTAGCTTGGCCACTCAGGGTTCTGTGCCTGGGGCAGGTTGTGCAACAAGCCAGCTTGAAGATGAAGTTTACGCACTCAGTAACCTCAGTGATCACTGAGGAAGACTCTTTGCTCAGGTGGACTCTGTACAGATCTTACTGTTCTCTCAGTGAGGTGACACCAATCCATTATACACCATCTTGGGTGCCACCAGTCAGGGCTGAACTATGCCGAAGCATAGTTCACCCCCATAAAAAACTACTTACAATGCTGCATTCTGGATGTTTCTAAGAAATAAATGAAAAATATGTGATAATTCCCCCCGCCCGCCACAAAATACTGTGACTGGGTCTTCTGGTTACCAACTCTGTTTTTTAAGATAGTCCTGTAATTAATGATTAAGTATATAGATGGGCAATGTCCAGACCATATATAATATGTGGGGGGAAAACAAAGAAGAGTATTAGTTAAAAACACTAGGTTGGGTTTGACATGATTTCTTGTGTTATATGCCTTCTGCTCTTTTTTTTAAAAAAAATTTATTATTACATAAAAGACCAGGCCCTGGCCAGGTAGTTCAGTTGGAGCATCCTCCCGATACGCCAGGTTTGCAGTTTGATCCCTGGTCAGGGTGCATATAGGACATAACCAAAGAATGTATACGTGGGTGGAACAAAAATCAATGTTTCTCTCTCTCCCTTTCTCTCTCTCTAAAAAACCAATCAATAAATAAAAAAATTAAAAGACTAAAGCCTGGTTAGAATGAAAAGTGAACTAAACAACAATAATCATAGCTAAGTTTGAATACTTCTTGTATGCCAGGCATTGTATTTTTAACTTACTCCTAGAAGAAAACCCTACGAGACTGATACTATTTGTCATGTTGTAGAACTCTGACCTACAACCTCTGGAGCAATTAGCCTGGGAAGCTAAACTGTAGCCTCTGCGGCAATCAGCCCAGAGAGATTAGGATGTGGTTAATGCCAGCTTCCCTATCTGACTGCCAGCTTCCCTATCTGACTGCCAGCTTCCCTATTTGATTGCACCCTTCCAACTCAGGACCCACCAGAAAGCCCCAAACCAACCATATAAGAAGCCACTCTACATAGTCGACCTCCAGCTTTCCCATACTATCAGAGCATACACGAAGCCTTCCTCTTTTCACTATTGTCCAAGAAAAATTGCACCAAAGTTAAACAGGTTAAAGACTTTATTCAAGACTGCGCAATAGGAGAGAGTGAACTCAACCCCTTAGAAACAAAAGGTGGGAGGGTTTTGAGACACTGGGGTGAGCAGGTGGAAGAGTACTGGAAAGCCATTGGGGGAGGGTGGTCAGTGTCCGTAAGCCATCTGTTTGCTTGCTTAAAAGGTTAGGCCCCTACCCTCTTGCAGACACTGTGTGGTTACGGGTATGGTCTTTCTTGGTTACCTTTCAGAGGGATGGCTCCCAGGACCTTAAGAAAGACACTCCTAGGTTGTAGAAGCTCCCAGAGGTTGGGAGATTTACATCTCAAAGGGCAGAGAAAGAATTTATACTTGCAGGTTTTCTCAAGTAAATGCTCTCGGAAAAAGGGAGGTCAGGAGCCTACAGACAAAGAAACCTAAATTGAAGTCAAGCTGAGGATAATGTGGTCACGTTAGTCTCTGTAAAGTTTTCCCACTGCCCTGCCCACCTTTGCTCCCTGCCAAGCACAGTGATGCTGGCCGAGTCCCTATATCAGGCTCTGAATACTTTTGTGTCCTTAGTGCTGAAGGCTGCAGTTTCCTAAAAGCACTCACATTTCCATTTTATTCGGAGTTAGAATGTCAAGTTAATGCCTGGCTTTGAAGCAACCAAATCTTGTTTTGTTACCTATTGTCTGCCTGGTGCCTGAGAGCTGGTTATAATACCTTAGGTCTTTCCAAAGTACACTGAGCTCTTTCTTTTCTTATCTGGAGAAGCTACAAAGCTTTTTGCTCCAATGAAAGAGGAAAGTAGAGCTCTAAGATGTCCAGATGTTCAGCAGTCACAGCCTTTGTTTTCTTATCTGAATCAGGTGATTACAATTCAGGTGCCACCTCCCCCCACCTCCTAGCAATTTACTGCAAGTGCTGACAAGTCCTGGCTGGCCTGCGGAACTCTTGCAGCTGTGCTCTCATTAATGACTTGTTGCCCTCCTTCCCTAAGGGTGTTTTTGTGTGTGTGTGTATTGTTTCACATTCTTAGATAATGAAAGAACCACATTTCTGAAATACAGTCATGTGCTGCATAAAGATATTCCATCAAGAGGGACCACGTGTAAGTTGCTGGTCCTATAAGGTTATAATGGAGCAGAGAAACTCCTACCGGCTGGTGACTTGGTGACCATCCTGAAGTCATACTGCAAAGCATTACTCATGGGTTTGTGATGTTGCTCATGCAATCAAACCTCTTGCACTGCCAAGTGCACAAAAGTATAGCACATACAATTATGTCCACTACCTAATACTTGATAATGATAATAAATGACTATGTTACTTGTTTTTGTGTTTACTATACTTCTTCAATTTTTTTGTTAAGCCTCGCCCAGGTATATTTTTCCCATTGATTTTTAGCGAGTGGAAATGGGGGGGGGGGGGAGAAATATCGATGTGAGAGAGACACATTGATTGGTTGCACCTGCCCCAACAGGGGCCAGGGATTGCCCTCGACCCTTTAGTCCATGGGCTGACGCTCTAAACCAGTGATGGCGAACCCCTAACTTAACTCTGGTGCTGTGCCACATATAGAAATTTTTTGATATTTGCAACCATAGTAAAACAAAGACTTATATTTTTGATATTAATTTTATATATTTAAATGCCATTTAACAAAGAAAAATCAACCAAAAAAATGAGTTCGTGTGTCACCTCTGACATGCGTGTCATAGGTTCGCCATCACTGCTCTAAGCATTGAGCTAAACTGGCTATGGTTATATACCATACTTTTTATCATTATTTTACAGCATACTCTTTCTACTTATAATGAAAAGCCTCATCATGCATCTTGTGTTTAGCATGTCTCTTGATTGCATTATTTTCTCTTGTGCTTGACTTCATCTCATTTTATTTTTTAAATGTAGTGTGGCCTGAGTGTACGGTGCTGATAAAAGCTACAATAGTGTACAGTCTTGTCCTAGGCTCTCGCATTCACTCACCATTCACTCTGACTCACCCAGGGCAAATTCCAGTCCTGCAAGCTCCATTCATAGTGAGTGCCCTCTGTGTGTAGTAGGCTGTGCCATGTAGGTTTGTGAGCACACTTGATGATGTTCACACAAAGATGAAAATGCCTACAATGGGAAAATGCATTTCCCAGACCATATGTATCTGTCTGTAAGCCCCACATGTCTGTAGTTCTAACTCCCATAATCAATGTTTTATTAGGAAAAATTTTAGAATAAGGCCTTTTTTAAAATTACAAAGCTTTTTAGAGCTTTCTATGCCAAGTCACAAATCAATGTCTACCAGACTTCGCTCTTTTGTAATCTCTAAATGTTTTCATAATTCTATACAGTATTATTTACATAGCATTGTTAACCAGGGGGAATGAACACAGGGAAAAATAAAAACTTTTTATAAGTGACAAAGTGGGATACAGAAATACATACATTGTCATGTCAATCTCTAACATTTAGAGATTACAAGAGTGAAGTCTGGTATATATTGATTTGTGACTTCTCAAACTTTAATGTGAATCACCTAGGGATTTGGTCAGCTGCATATTCTGATTTGGCAGATCGGGGGTGGGGCCTGACATTCCACATTTCTAAACTTTCTTGAGAATGTCCAGGCTGCAGGCTCACAGACTACACCTTGAGAAGCATCAGCATACATTAGTTTGTGTAAAGATAATACTCAGCTTTGATCTATATATAGTTTATGCTCAGAAAAGTGTACGTATACATATATAAAAATAGAATGAAAGCAATAAAACCAGACTGGAAACATACCAAATATGAAAAGAGATGTGGGGTCATGGGTAAGTTTGTTTTCTTTTATTCTATTTTTCTTTTCCCTAGCAAAATATTTCCTCAAATTTTTCTGCAGTGGACATAACTTTTTATTTTAACAGAAAGCTTTCTCTCTCTCTCAATAGTAAGTCATGTATTGAATCTCAAAAGTGATGGAGGTTGTGGACAAAGGTTCTAAGAGAGGTTGACACTTGCCCGATCCATGGCGGTTATGTGACTGTGATACTGTCCATGGTCTCTTGAGCGGCCAGGTGGCTTCGGGAAGTCCTTGCTGGGTTTCATCCGCCTAAGACAACTTTAGATGATCACATTTTTCGGTGCGGTGCAGGTGAGACCAAAGAGCCAACAGCCAGCCATTCTCAGAGACATCTTAGTACTGATGATGGCCACGATTCTCTCGATTCACTCCCAGGGCTCAATGAATGGCAAGACTCCACCGGCTCCTCACAGGACAAAGTTCTGCTGGGACCAGGAAAATCTGTGAAGCAAATTCAACAGCATTTCAACTTTCTACTTTTCATATCAGGGAGGCATCTGTCTAAAGGAAATCTGTAAGTACATTGCAGGCATTTAACAGGGAGGTTGGTAAGCGCTTTAAAAAGAATTTTTACTTAAAAGAGTTAAAAATCACCTCAACATATTTGGGTGAAAGTGTTGGGGGGAGGTTCACTCTTTGGGGTGCTCCATTAGACATGGTTGTTATTAGGTAGTTTTATTTTTTTAATTTATTGTTATTGTTACTATGTCCCCATTTCTCCCCAGCTCATCCTTTGCCCACCTCCACCCAGCCCTCACGCTCCCTCCCTCTGGCCATCATCATACTGTTGCCTGTGTCCATGGGTTATGCATGTATGTTCTTCGGCTACTCCCTTCGGTCATTAGGTAGTTGTATCTACTTGAACCAAGTAAAGGAAACGGGACTCACATAAAAAACTCACCTCCCTGAAACGGAGGCTTAGCCATTGCTTATAGCCACTATTTGGTTAATTACATATTGATTTGTTCTTTGCAGCTGGCTACACTTAATCAGGTTGGATTCTTGTCAAGCTCATCGTATTGACAGCTCTTCCTACAAATACTGTGCTCCACTTTAACACTTAGCAAGAACAGCATTTAGTAAGAACTGCCCAGACTTTGAGACCCTTATCCTAACAAATGGAGTTGAGCTGACTTGAATAAAAACATTTTAAAAGAAAGGAGATGCCAAACCGGTTTGGCTCAGTGGATAGAGAGTGTCGGCCTGCGGACTCAAGGGTCCCAGGTTTGATTCCGCTCAGGGGCATGTACCTTGGTTGCGGGCACATCCCCAGTAGGAGGTGTGCAGGAGGCAGCTGGTCGGTGTTTCTCTCTCATCGATGTTTCTAACTCTCTAACCCTCTCCCTTCCTCTCTGTAAAAAATCAATAAAATATATATTAAAAAAAAAAGAAAGGAGATACTGTAAAATGGAAACTTAATTGTGCCCATTCTGCTTTTCTCTTACAACAGAGCATCAGATTTTGAATCCCAGAGGGGAAACAAACTAACCTGACAGGTCCTAAAGAAAGAATTCAAAGCTCCTACCAGCCACCAGGAACTAAGCAGTGTGTGAAACCCCTTCAAAGACACAAGCGTGGTGCACAGTAGGTCTCTGAACCTTAAGGTGAATCTTAATTACAAAGACGAGGTCATTTCTAAGGAATTTAAGGAATGTATTTACTGATACTTTAAGTGTTGGAAAAAGCTAGAAATAAGTTTTCTTTTAGCAATGGAGAAAAGAGTGAATAAAAACCACTGGTTTTGAGTTCAATGTGATTTCCTGGGCTGTATGCCTTCAGCTGATTTTATTAAGCAAAAGACTGAAGCCTGATTAGGATGAAAGTGAACTAAAAATAACAATAACACGAATGCCTGGCTGGTGTTGCTCAGCAGTAGTGTCGACCCAGGAACCAAGAGGTCGCCAGTTCGATTCCTGGTCAGGGCACATGCCAGGGCTGCAGGCTCGATCCCCAGTGGGAGCCTGCAGGAGGCAGCTGACCAATGATGTTCCTCTCTCATCGATGTTTCTATCTCTCTATCCCTTTCCATTCCTTTATCTCTAAAAATCAATGGTAACATATTTAAAGTCAATGCCCTATCACGTGGGGCATACGACTCACAATGAAATTTACTAACTCAGGTTTGAAATCCGCCAGCCAAGTTTAACCTCATACTAGTAGTCAGGTAAGGGTTGTTGAGTGTGGGGGTGGGAAGGGAGGTAATTTACTTTGTGGGATCTTTATTACCTTTTCTACCCACCAGGCACTTTTGAACACAGATGAGCTCAGGTCCTGAATTCCTCTCTCAAGTGAGGGGCTCATGGGCCTGAGAACTGTTAGTGGTGACTGTCCAGCCAACAGGCCTTGCAGGGCTCAGGGACATCAAGGTGACTCTAGTACTTCTCCTGAACGTGAGTGAGTTGGAAAACCCAAGGTCACCTTTGACCCCCTAGAAGTAGGCCATTCCCAGCCTTTAGGTGACAGACGATCCTATCCTTGCCTAACTTAGTGCAGCTGGTTTTCTCTGGGATTACTGAAATAGCACCTATATCTAAGGAAAATGCGTGCTGGTTTACATGTACATCCTATTCACCCATAAACGCTTCACCATTTCAGTAGAAATCAACATGGACTTCCAGTCTCCTGTCTGAATTTTGCCCTGAATATCCTGACCACATGCCAGGGACTCTGCTACACATCGAAGAGTGAAAGCCCTTTATCATTTGAATTTTATGGCCGGTCATACCAGGCCCGGCAAACAACGGTCCACAGATCAAATCAGGCCATCACCATTTCCTATGGCGAAGTGTGCGAAGAATGTCTTTTCATTTTTAAATAAATGATAAGAATAATATTTCATGGGACGTTATACGAAATTCAAATTTTCGTGTCCATAAATTGATTGGGACACAGCCACCTGTATTATTTGTAAGAAGCATCACCAGCTGTGTGACCTACACAAGCCACATGACCTCTAGGCTATGGCTGGCCCATCTATAAAATAGGGACATACTTAACCAATCTTGTCTGCCAGGAGGCAAGGAGTGGGTCAGAGGATATCTGAGGGCATTTCAAGCTCTAAATTGAAAAAAGGGGCAGAGAGGGAGGAGCCCGTAAGGGAGGGACACTGTTGAACAGCTTATTCCTCAAAAGCCAAGTCCCCTTGTCTTGTTAATCATTTCGGTAACCAAATACCTCCCCTTCAGCCCTGCAGTCAGCAGCCTATTGGGGGGAGGAGCGGGCTCCTCAGATTCTCAAACCGCGCCACCCTACTAAAGGGATAATAAAGATGGAATTTAATAAAAAGAGGAATAAGTAAAATAAAAATGAATTCTTTCCATAGCACCAGAAGAAATATGTTGTCAACAGCATCAGGAAAGAAGTATTTTCAATACGGTCTTGACTACATATCTTATTAATAAAATAACAATGGACAAGAAAAATATAGTCATTTTACGGCAAACTATACATTTCCACCTTTAGATCAGAAAATGTATCTGGGTATTTCAAACATTAAGATAATTAAATGTTTCGGATGAAAAGCATTTTTACTGGAGTCAAGTAGACACTTTGGGGTAAAGCTCCTTTAAATGGCATTTCCCTGTGGACGCCCAGTTTTCTGCTCCCTTCCCTTCCATTCCTAGCGCCTGTTTTCTCCCTAACACTGAACTGTGATCAAAGAAAAAAGTGCACATCAGGAGAAAGTCAAAACTGTGTACTGGCTGCTCTGTTTTACCTTTTCAGCTTTTGAAACGTTCTGCCTTGAAGTCTTCAAGAGAGAGCGGGTGAGCGGAAAACAGATGAGCGAGAGGTATTGCAAAATGAGAACGAACAACAGATTTCCTTATTTCAAAAGTCCCACGTGCTGTTAATTTCAAAATACCCACCCCCTCTGAACGGCGTGGGTCGCCAAGGCCCTCACCGTGTTTCAGCCACACGAGAGGTAGTGCGTTGCTTACGGTTCTCCCGTCGGTGTCCGTGCGCTCAGCGGCCCCAGCCTCGCTGTTGGTTAATTTCGGGGTGAGGGTCCGGGCGGAGTGTTTTCTGTCCCTGTGAATTTTCGCTCACCCCGCAGCCCAGAACATCGCCCCGGCCCCTCCTCCGTTTATCTCCTCGGGGCCTCGGGGCCTCGTGGCCGAGAAAAGACCGTCTCTCCGGAGCGTGGACTCGGGGCGCCTCTCTCCGTGCCCAGGGGTCCCTGCGCCCCGCCACCCGTGTTTGGGAGTTGCTACTGGCGTTTAGTGGATGGGGACCAGACATGTTAGCTGCCCTGCAATGCACAGAACAGTCGAGCAATGAAAAACTATCTCATGCCTTGCCTAACTTTCACATATCTTACCGGAAATGCATGAGGGCCAAGTCTGATGACAATTATCCAAGCCTGGAACCTAACTCTATTTTACATACGAATGCAAGATAATCTATGCCCATTGTTCATAAATACTAAGTTTTCTGCTACCATGTAAACTAAGGGGAAAATGTTTTCTTCAGAGCTTTACCTAGGGTGGTGCACCATCTTGAAAAATTATTATTACCAAATACCACACGTTTCAGTTACTTACATTTACTGTGATTCTAAGAGCATGTGTGAGAATCTTATAACTTCCTCATGCCTTCTCATATTGTCATGCCCAAGTATTTCTGTAAGGGAATCCCCTCCGCTCCCCTCCGCTCCCCGCTCTCCTCCGCCCGCGGCGCTCAGCCTTTTAAAGACAAAAGCCTGACCTCCCAAGGTCGTAGCTCCGGTCTGTCCCCGCTCCCCTCGCATCTACCCGGCTCTCCGCGCTCTGCGCTCCCCCGGAGCCGGGGCGCCGGACACCCCCGCCCTGCGCACCTGGAGTTGCGCAACGAAATATCTCCCCAGGACGCTCCTCCTAGTGAAGGAACAAGGAAGTCCCTGAAAAAGTGATCGGACCTGATCAAATTCTTCCGAAAAGGGTTCCTGTCCGCCCCGAACCCACCCCACCCCGCCCGCTGCCCAGGTGACCGAATGGCGATCCCAGGACCAGACTGGGGAAGGCGACGCCCGTGGGGAAGGGCCTTGGTTTGCGGCTCCCCCTCGGAAAGCCTGGGGTCCCACCTGTCTCCCTTCCGGTGCTCATCCGCGCGCTTCCCAGGGAGGCCTCAGTGCCGCTGACCGAATGGAAACAAAGCGCTAAACGAACGTCTTGAGAGTTTAGTGTTGTGTTCGTGTCGCTGTGTTTTTTGTTTTTGTTTTTAATTTTCCCCGTCACCGCCTCCCCACCCCCCGCTCCCCTTTACCTCCAGAGGTTGAAAATAGATGTATCTCCGTGTGCTCTTGGCACCTACTTCTTGCGAGCCCCCGGCCACACTAAGCTTTGCCGGAGGCTAACTGGAAATGGGAGCTTAGTGTGTGATGTCCTGTCCGTTCTTAGTAACAGGTGCTTGTTTCATTAGAAAATGCGCAGTTTTCCTCTCTGCTTTAGAAAAATGACTGCAGCGGTGGAAATGTTTGCCCATATATGAAGGACCAGGTAGTCTGCCGGGTCTTAGAATTAAGAAAAGTGTGGTAGGCGTGAGAAAACGTGGGTCAGATCTGGCGGATTCGGTGCCTGGCCTTGGGCTGGTTTTTGGTAAATCATAGCTCACTGAAGTTTTTGATTTAAAACTCACTTACTCTTTGCAACAAACTGAGGAATTAGTGATGCTGTTGTGATTAACTAGTTATTAATAACAGGAAACGAGCAAAGGGAAGGCCAGACACTATAGGTTTGTCTGTTGGGCAGCTTCACCAGGAAGCTACAACTTTACACTCCCCAGGGTTCCAACAAAGGGGAGCTAGAGTATGCCCAGTAAAGTTGGGGTAACATGGGGAAAGTGCTTGCTGTCAGAAAGGTCATGGGCCAGAATGGGCGTGGCCACTGCAAGGGCAGGAGATTTTAGATATTTAATCCCCTGAATAAAAGAGTTCAGGCTCTTCATTCCTCTTGCTGCTCTGGGGACTTTTGTGAGTTGGGCTTGTGGGGCTCCCTTGTGCTCCCCCACATGGCCCATGGTCATGCAGTCCCACACACAGTGGATTAATGGACTGCAACTAGCCATGGTCATGCGGCCCCACACACAATGGACTAATGGACTGCAACTAATGGGCGCCAGCATGGAAAGGGAACTCTGGACTCTGATCTGCTTCTAGCTTTGCTGAAAGGATGCAATTCCACGGAAATAAAGCGTTCTACCGTATCTCATCCTCTGCAAGTGCTTATTCCAGTGGTAGATACTCCAGGAACCCCACTTCCACCGATAACAGAAGTATCACTCCAGTCTCCTGGAAAACTTTGAAGGACAGGGAGGTTCCGTAGTTGCCCAAGGTCAAGCACTAATAAAGAGTGGAGCCAGAAATTACCTGCCTATTTTAAGCCTATGACTTCATGTTCTTTCCTGTTCATTTACTTGACCAGTAATTACTGAGTGTGTGCTGACTGTCAGACACTATTCTAGGTGATGGGGACATGTGGCGGGTGGGGAGGGGGGGACCAGATTGCTTGTTCTCTTGAAGAATTCTTCCATATATGTAGTAACATAAATCAAGTTCTCTATCCAGAAATAAGAGATAGCAAATGAACTTTGATGTACATGAAGATCACCTGCAAATTAATGCCCTAACCTACCCTCAGATTCTGTTCTTATAGGTTTGGGGTAGGGCTTAGAATATGGGGTTTTAGCAAGACCCTCAGTAATTCTGATGCTAGCAGCCCGTGGACAACTTTATGAAAAACATCACCAAAAGTCAGA